CCTATTTGTGCGACCCACAGATAGTTGTTTGGGTGTTTCATCTGGGTATTTGTCCTCGTGCAATTTATGTTTGTAAAACGTCCTTACAACGCAGAATAATGTTATCCTAAAGTGAGGGCAATGTTTTTAAAAAAATAAACTTTTCTATTGCAAGAAAAAATTAGAACGCCATGTATAGGACGGAGTATTAAACATAATTATATTATTCTGACTTGACTGCGGTCGAGTGACATTGCATCGATAGGAAAAGTACAATATATTGTAATAAGACAAGCGCGGCGTAAAGAATTATTTATTGGCTCGTCTGTTAAATTTTCTCATAAAAAATGTAATAGCCGATCAGTGTCATGATCGTGCGCCGTAACGTATTCGTACATTCATGCCTTCTGACACGTGGAACGTAAGTTATGTAGCAGCCAATCCATTTAAATTGCACCGTATTATCCGTTTAAATTATGGCATGGCAAACACCCATGATTATTATGCACAAGTCCGCATCCGCCACTTAGATATACAGCGTGTCGCTACTAACGCGACCATAAATCAATTCACATTTAGAGGATAACTTATTAAAATTGTATTAATCATTTACATTCTTTAAACATCAATATTTACCGAGTTATTGAATTATCCAAAACAAACAATTTTAGAACACCCTTACGTATAAAACTGTAACGTAAAGTTCATTTGTAAAGCTCACAAAGCATATGAATGGGTGGAATGAATTTGAAAGGGATAAAACATATTGTTAGAAGGAGAGATTTGTAATGCGAGGCGGCGGCAACGAATGATAAAGTGTCTGAATGTATGAATTAGTCAGTTGTAGTTGTAAAGGATGTTAGAAATTTTGTTTCTTTTTTCTTTTTACCCTTTGGGTACGGGACCCTAAAAAATAGCAGTACATGTGCACTGTAGATGTACGCAACGCTATGTATGAACAGCTGAAGTAACATGCCTTGTATAATTAACATTTATCTTTGTGTGTTCTCATTATTTATGTTTTTAAGAATTATTGTTACATAAAGGTTTCTTAAGGAATAGTAACTTTGTCTTATTGAGAGGCTACGTTTTCACGAGCTTGATAGAACCTAATTAAGCAGAGTCTCGCATGCAATTATGCGTGCTTTAACTAAATGATGGAATGGTTACTGAGAAAGTGGTTCGATTGAGATTTTCTTTGGTTTCCTTGCTCGCCAAAGAAAGCGACAAAATATAAACACTTAATTCATGCTGGTCTTCTAGGAGAGCCAGTTAGCTTCTCGTCGGCTAGCCCATTAGCGCTGGACCTGTTGAGTAAGCTGTTTTAGGGCACCACATTTAAAATATATAGATGGCGATAGATAGAGACACATGAGCATGATAATAAATAAATCCATAGTTTAGCATTGTAAACGATTTGTATTTGTGGCCGCTGTTTCATCGTGTATTGCTAGAAACCATTTTAAATATAATTTCCATTTCCATGTGTTTGCGTTCGTCATATAGGTATATTGAACGTCTCATCCTTTACATTGTTTAGACATTTATTAAACAGCCAGTACATTGTTTTTATTTATACCTTAGAAATCAGAAAATAATATCGAACTGTCATAATATTTTACGTTAAATGCATTTTTATACAAGAATGGCTGAGTAATCCTTATATGTACAGTTGCGTGGTGTATATTAAAGCGACATCTGGCCTTATTCCTTGTGTACGAGATTTTGTATCCCGTGCCATGTGGACTTTATGTTCAGTTTCGTTGCAACGAAATTTTAGCATTCTGCCGTCTATTGTGGACAGGCTCTCAAATGAGAGAGCGTGACGCATTGGTCGCATTCAGTATTTATTTATTTATTTATTTATTTACTTATTTGATACACCAACGAAATGGACACTGAATAAATTTAAGTGTACCCTAATTATACGGAAAAACATGTTAAGTGCCACCTCAATTATAGGTGTATACGACATTTCAATTTAATGTGGTATTTGCATGAGAAACAGGATTATTAAAGTATTGAAAAAACAACGATTAAACTAATACAATTCAAATCAATCCAAAAAAAAAAAAACACAATTCATTACATTATCATTGCATTATACACAAATGAAGGTGAAATCGAAAATGTTATAATAAACATAGGAGTAAAAATTAACGTCTGTGAAATATTTAGAGTATCGACATAAAGAGGGTATTTGTCAATACGTTTTATTTAATAAGTTGCTTATTATTATACGCGCTTGTACATCTGAAATGTGACAAAACTAGTTGTGTTTTATACACTTGCCGTGTTTTACTACAGCCGATGAAAATTTAGGTACCTATAACAAACCCTTCGAAATCAGTTATTGACAATGACAGCTACAAATCTATATTATATCCACAAAAGTATCTGTAAAATAAAATAAGTTCTTAGTAAAAAGGAGTTGAGTTAAGTAACAGCTTATACATGTCCCACTGCTGGGCAAAGACCCCTCTATACAGAGGTATCAGGGCATAGTCCACGACGCGGCCTCACTGCGGATTGATGGACACATAATTAGCTTCAAAATATATATTTTTTGTTATTATTTCGAAAATATGCTAGTTTCCTCAACAATTTCATCCGTGCCGGTTGCTCGAAAATATTGAACTGAAGGCCAGAATCCGGACACTGAGTTATCACGGCTCTAAAGTAAAAAATAGAAGAAAACGGAGATGATTGGACAATACAAACTATATTTAGCTCATTGTAGGGATGAAACTTGATACTATAATGTACACTAAGCATAAACATATTACGTGTCTTTGTTATGATGTTATTCGGCTTTGGGATACAAACGGTATAGCGGTTAGCGTCCCTAGCGGAGTCATCATCGACTTAATTTTTTTGTCAAAAAATTATACGTAACTTGAAATAACTTTGATAATATTTTTAAGTAAAGAAACTTTCAGAACTATGACGTCAATAACATTTTGCGTATGAAACGTTTAAAATGTACTGCTCGCTATTCAAGGTCAAATTATTTAAATAACACTTTTGTCAACTACGGATTCACCTGTTAGAAACTGGCTGTCACGCTTCCTGTTATTCGATTTTAAATGCAAATTCGCGATAAGTTTTGTTTTTGATTTGAACCGATTTTAAGACGGAGGATAAGCAAATACGACGAGGAGAATATTTGAATACAAGATGATTGTTATTCCAGTACCATATATATCTGTCTTGCGCCTTGTCTTTACTCTGAAACTTACGCCCGGTTTTTGAAACACTGGTCATCCTAGAAGTTAACTAATCAGCTGTCAACTAGGTTTTCAAATTTTATTTGAGTTGCGGAAATTGGCACAAATGTTTTAGTTATTCTCGTGAAGAAAATAAAAAATTTAAGTGTTTATAGTGCTAATCTTTGCACTTAAGATTGAACATTAAAATATGTAGAAAAAGTGCGAATGCCGAAGACGTGGGTTCGATTCCCACAGCGGTGACAATCTTCGTACTTTTTCTACATATTTTAATGTGTATATATTTATTTACTTTACACATTTGATAAAAGGATGTCGTTTTCTACTGAAAAGTTGGACACCTCTGATAAATGAAGTGCTATAAGACCACAGATATATTATCTTCCATTTTATCTATTGTTTGATGTTTCCATCACACTTTCGTTTGTTACTTCTCATAACGTTCATCTGTGAAGTCGTCTCCGCGTGAGTAATTTTGAATAGATAATAATAAGAAACTAGTACTATTAGATGGTGTTAGATACTACCATAATTATACATAGTAGTGTGTGTAATGTTTTTCCATTGATTTAATGTATTTTTTATGCATAACTTAAAAAAATATTAGCATACTGCACTCCTTCTCTATATAAACAATAATTGTGGGAAATTTTATACTCCTCCGTCCATGCAATATTTGTAAAAAGGAGTTTAATTTATGGCAGTTTAAATTGGAATGGATAATTTTGACAAAGAATTTATACATTATAGACAGACAATTGAACTGAGTAGCGTAAGAAGTGTGAGTAGTGTATACTTCACATAAGTAGTACATAAGTAGGAAATTTAAATAGACGTCACGGCGTTTTAATTTGGTCACGGAACGTCTTGGTTAAATTACGAATTTTTGTTCGGTGACTTTTTCCTCATTCGCAACGTTTAATGGAGGATTTAACATACTTTGCATTGTTCTCATGTTCAGTGTTTTGTGGATTGCAATATAAGCTATGTGTCGTTACTTTGATGGCTTGTCCAAGAGTTGGCTCAGTTGATTCAGTTGACGAAATAAAATACTTACTTCGATCCTCTACCAGCTTTTCAATAAAAAAAATATTTTACTCTCTATTTCCCATTTTCATCATTATGATCTTTATCTATTAAGATTGTTTAAAGCTGTAATCGTATGTGAAAATACAACAACGTATTTTTTTTCTATTCTTTTTTAGTGTTTTTTACAAAAAACATTACCTTTACTGTAGGATACGAGTAACATTATCTGTGGGTAACACAATTGAATTGAATTGGAATTACAGGTTTAATGAATTTGTTCTGTTTCAACAAACTCTCTTAAAGACTAAATTGTGTGCATTTTCTATGTTATTATTTTGATGATGGATGTATGTTACTTCTTGTGGCTAACTTATTGATTGACAGTTAATTTTTAAATGCAAAACATGGTGGCATCCACCGTGGGTCTTAACTTTACACACATTTAGTACAATGCTTTACACAATTTTTAGTTCAATTCCATCAACATTAAAAATCTCAACATCAACATTAAAAGTTTTGTAGTAATGTAAAAACAATATGTAATTATTTATTTAAAAAAAGTATGTTTATCATCACCCATATTACAAGCTTTACTTAGTTTGATATGTCCTGAAAAATATCTTACATAATTTCGTAGCTTTTTATCTGATAACTCTTGCACTAGTGAGTTGCTCTCGAAAATAGTATATCTTGTTTTATCTCGTGACGAGGGTACTCATATTGAACCACATTTGGATTGCAGTGTCGTCACCACAGCGGCCGACAATGGATAGCGGAGGGGCAACGGGCCCGCTGCTGTATGCAGTGGTCGCTGCAGTGCTGGGCATGCTGCAGTTCGGGTTCAACACGGGCGTGATCAACGCGCCGAAGCAGTTCATCGAGAACTTTATCAAGGAGCAGTACTCCGTCGAGCCCGATCTGATCTTCAGCGTTATCGTTAGCATTTTCGCGGTCGGTGGCATGATCGGCTGTCCTTTAGCCAGCTGGATCGCCGACAAGCGTGGGCGCAAGTTCGCACTGCTTGCCAACGCTGTGTTCGGCGTGATCGGAGCTCTACTAATGGGCTTCAGTAAGATCTCGTCGTCCGTAGAAATGCTCATCATAGGCAGGTTCCTCATAGGCGTCAACTGTGGGTTCGCGACTACCGCGTCCCCTACGTACGTCTCGGAGATCGCGCCGTTGAGACTGCGCGGCGCCTTCGGCACCGTCAACCAGCTGGCGGTAGCCCTGGGCCTCGTCGGAGGTCAAATATTGGGCATCGACGTCATTTTGGGCAGCGACGAGGGATGGCCCTGGCTGCTCGGGTTGGCCGTGCTCCTATCCGCGATCCAATGTTTAATGTTGCCACTGGCGCCTGAATCCCCTAGGTACCTCTTGTTAGTCCAAAGGGACGAAGAGCAGGCGAGGGTTGTGCTAGCGAAGATCAGAGGTACCGACGACATTGACGACGAGATCAACGAAATGCACGTTGAGGACAGGGCCGCGAAGCAAGAGGAGAAGTTCTCTATAGGCGACCTGTTCAGGATAAAAGCTTTACGCACGCCACTTATTATTGGCGTAGTGATGCACCTTTCGCAACAGCTGGGCGGTATCAACGCCGTACTGTATTACTCCTCGACGATATTCGAGAACGCCGGCCTCACGGTGGAGAACGCACGTTTGGCGACGATCGGTGTAGGCAGCATCCTGTTTCTAATGGCACTCGTGTCGATTCCTTTGATGGATCGCTTAGGAAGGCGCACCCTACAGCTGTGGGGCCTTGGCGGTATGGCGGTCAGCTCCGTGCTTATGACCGTTGCGTTCTACACTTATACGGACAACTTCACTATGAGCGTATTCGCTGTCATCTTCACCCTGCTGTATGTGGGCTTCTTCGGTGTAGGGCCCAGTTCGATCCCCTGGATCATCCTCTCAGAGCTGTTCGGCCAGGGCGCGAGGAGCGCCGCGGTAAGCGTTGGCGCCGCGGTGAACTGGTTCGCCAACTTCATAGTCGGCCTGGTGTTCATTCCGCTCACTAAAGTGCTGGGCAACCTCGTGTTCCTTCCGTTCACGATACTGCTGATCCTCTTCTACGTATTCGTCTACTTCAAGCTGCCGGAAACGAAGAACAAGACCATCGACGAGGTGACGGCTATCTTCAAGAAGTAGTGCCCGAGTCAGCACTAGATAGAACTCGTCAAAACACATTCCCTATTAGTTATTTAATGTATGTATTAATGCAATAAGTTCGAATGTTTGTGATAGGTATTATGTATTATGCGGATTCCGTTTTTAAGGCGGCGTCGCACTAAGACCGTAAGCTTAAGGATGACTTCGTGGATACGGAATTTAATGTAGCGAAGGTTATGCGAAAACATATTAATGTAGATATTACAATTTGTAGAGAAAGGAGTTATCCATCTTCGACTCTCCTACTAGTATAACTAATATAAACCTGCGTTTATACTAATTAAAAGATTCCGGTGACGCCATAACATCTAGGGCTGTCAAGAACATTCCTTATGCCGATGAAAGCGCAACACATGACTACCGCTCGTATAGACTAATTAAGAACTAAATTAGTATTATCTTTACATGAATCGTAAACAACTAGGTACACAATTCGCATAAAATTAGGAAGACTGACACATCTTATATATACTATCATCTACACAATATTTCTAAAGTACTTATTCCATTAAACATAAGAAATATATTGATATTTTAGGATCGTCATGATAGACAGGTTAATGACATAATGTATATTAAATGAAGGTAGACCTATACAGGGAGGCTTTTCTAAGTGTATCCATTTTTTTATTAAATTCTAGACATAAATAATGTTATATAATAATGATAAATATTTAAAATCACTCGTAATTAATTAAATACTGAATGTATTTTGAACCTGTCTCAAAAAGTGCGTGATTTATGGGCAACTCATTTATTTTACGCGCGATCATTCATACCCAACACGCACACAAGTTCGCTTCAAAAGAATACGACGCATTTATGAATGGCTACAGCATTGCCAACTAGTTCTGTTTTCTAAGGAATGGAATGGAAATTTTTCGAAAAAAAAAAAAAAGTTTGTTTTTATTTCAAAACCGATTATACTACCGAGTCTGAACCTCCTTTGTGCATTTGGCACCTTTAGAAAAGCCACCCTATATAAATGGAATATATTAGTGTAAAGGCCCATTTACACGGTGCCAGTTTCTTGCCTGTTGTATACAATTAAATTGAAGCAATAAATAAGTTGCATGGTCTAAACAACAAATGGTCTAACCAATTATTGCGCGCAATTTATTGCATTCAATTATTGCTCTTGCATGTACAAGAAAATGGCATCGTGTAAATGGGCCTTTAATCGAACTAAGTTTCAATTTCGTTCCTTTCAAATGTTTTTGAGTGAAATCATAATGACTTGAGGACCGATTTTTTTATATTTTCTTATTTTATCGTATAATTTGTATTGTTTCGAATACTTTATTTATATTCTGTTTTAATTATATTATTCTACTGCTTGATTAGAGTTATTTACGGATTTGTTGTGTTGCTCTCCAATTTTAATTACACTGTACACAATAACTACTGCGATGATAAATGGTCTATAATCATGTTGAATATTGCTCCTATATGAAGATTTGGGCAATAGCAAAGTTAATAAAATCTAAGTAATTTACTTAACCGTCCTAGAGTACTTCAGTGCCAACTGATTTGTATGTCATAAGTACTCATTGTTACGTTTTAAAATGTTTAGAATAGACATGAATAAGCATATTAAAACTTAATCGATTAACTGTCGATTATTTTTTGTTTCAATGAACAATATATATAATTAAAAGAAAACATTCATTTGTTCATATAAGGATTTTTTTTTGTTTTACTTCAACATTTTTTTATACTTTTGGCTTACTGTTCAAATATATATTTCATTATAAATATGTTATTATGAACTATATTATTCTATGTGTTTATATATGGAAACTACATAGTCATTTGGTTTTTTCAACTTCAAAGTCTATTACATATATATACTTTCTGCTGTGTGCTCACTTAAAATAAATATTTTATTATAGATTTGTTATTATGTATTATTATATAAGGACCCTTAATTATTCAGTTGCCGTGTCTTTTCTGATGACGTAGCGTTATAACATTTATTGGCTTAAATTAACAATTTGTGCGCGGATATATCTACTGCTTTGCTTTGCTCCATGATTTCATATTAGGGATAAAATTATGACTAACTATTGTTTTTATTATTATTAAAATAAAATAAATTAATGTTAAACCCTTATAGCCAATGATTGTACCAATATCATTTCTGTTAACTTGCCTCTGTAATAAAGATCATTGATATATTGACATGGTTTCGCTTTTAGCTTTTTATTACGGAAAGCCCGTCGATTTAGTTTCTTTGAATTTGAAATAATTTTGGATCATTAGATGCAGCTTACTTGTATTAGCAATGTAGTGTTATAATTGTTGTTGTAAACAATATGCTTAATACAAATACATTATTTGTTTTGAATGTATTCCCTAAATTCGCATAATATTGGTAGGTTATTTTGTCTGTTACTACGTAGATGTAACCAGGGCCCGTGAAACCCGTTTCTTTTTATTAACGCCCGGTCGAATGGCTTCTCAAATGTTATTTGAGTTGCAAAAACGATGGTTAAACTCTGAATTGATCTTAATGATCAGAATAAGGGCATAAATATATTTTTCGATGGTAAATTATAACCGCTACGCGATGCTTTACCTACATATTTAAAGAGTACCCATAGTCAAGGAGTATCCATAAAGTGTGATAAATATTGTGAATACCTATTACATAAAGTTACATTTTTTTTGTTTTTACCTATGTTATATTTGGATTTTATTATTTATAAATTTCAATTGGGAATTATATAGGTATTGTCGGACTCCGAAGTAGAAAATGAATTGATTTTAAAAGATTTACGTAAAATTGTAAGAACTTATTTCTTTTTGGATTTTAACGTGCCTTCTTCACCTCAAAAGTATTTGCAAGGTTGATTTTCCATGGACAACTGGATTTTATGGTGATTTCGTAGGAGCACGTCTGATTATTCATGTTGTACATTCTTAGACGTCAACCACATGGATTGAGGTATTATCATTACATGTTACATACATACTCTTGAGTTATAACATGTTATGTAAAACAATTCGATGTATAAAGAAGTAGATAAGTAAACTATGTAATAAATAACGACATGTAAGTATTTAAGGTTGTACTTTTTGAGAAAAAAAAATTGATAAAGTTTTTGACACTTAAAATGTGTAGATAAAGTTGTCGAAAAATGTTTTCGCTTGTCGAAAATTTCACCACTGCCAGGTTTCGAAACGGCGCCTTCCGGATTAAGCGTCCAGACGCTCTAGCCACTCAGCTGAGCAGTCGATATCTTATCGAATGTGTATCGAAAATTTTTTCGACAATTTGATATATACATTTTAAGTTTAATCCTAAGTGCATAGCACTGATATTGAAAAATTTTATGTATCTAATTTTACTCTTAGCTAAACTTTTTCTCTGCTATTTGTCATAGTTAAGGGAGTGATTTATTTGCAGCTAAATATGAAAAAATACTGACATATTTTTTATCTGTGGGAAATGCTTAATTTTCTGCTCACTTTAGCATAATTAGGATGAGGTTCCAGGTCGGAAGCCTCAACCCTAAAATCTATTGCCTGATGTAATGGTATAGTGTAATAACTTCATAAGGGTTATAATTTAAGGCGTACAAAACGTAAGTTAAACGTGAAACTATATCGCTATTGTTATATCTTGCCGCTTTACTTTGTTATATTTTGTATAATTCTTACAGTATATAATGTGGTCTAATCAAATGACAATTGTTAAATTTTTAAATAAAACAATTTTATGCGTAGGTCAAATGTATTTAATAATATACTCTATGATATTAATGTTTTCCTTTACATTCCCGTTCTTTTATTTTGTCTTTAACAAATTTATATTCGATTTATTCCTTTACCTATAAACAGTAATTTTTATTTATATTTGTACTTTTAATGTTAAAAATATTTAGCCGTTGTAAATATTGTAAGGAACATTATTGATTGTATTTCATACGTTACATAAAAAGAATATACGAATTTAAATTACCCGTTAATAATTTTATAACTTTTATTTTACTCAACTGCCTTTAATTTTTTAATTATTTCTTATGTGAAATTTAAAAAAAGATAAATAACATTAATATAATATTGGAGCAGATACATAATATTAGAACTGTCGGGATTTCGTTTTCATAGGACTAATAAAGTATAGTACTCATACTAGACTAATAATAGTAATTGTATATTTTTCAAGTATAAGTCTAGTCTAGTTGGAAATATCTGCAAACCGGTCAAAAACACGTGCTAGTCTCTAATATAAATAGTATAAAACAAAGTAGCTTCCGTGTCTGTATGTATATATCTAATAAATAAATATAGGTATCGGCTTAGTACCTACTTCTAAACTATTTATATAAGATTTTGATAGATATTTTGGTTTTAATCTATAAATCTTTGGTTTGGTTCTATAAATCTATAAGCGATCTACAATTATAAATCTCTAAGCAAATAGTACCTAAAATATTAGAATTATTTAATGTTATTAATCTAAAATATTGCAGGTAAAACATATCTTTGGGCGCTGATTTCGCCAATACTGGTTAAACCTTCTATTTGACCTAAGACAATGTCTTGATATAGTAATTTTATTTTTGTAGTCCGCCTAAATGGCGGTTTTCTTTAGCCGAGAAAAGTAAGAAAATGACACGCGCCTTCACTTGCTTTGACAACGGTACGGCATAGGCTAACCCGGGATGAGCAAAGCGCGGAAGTAGCGCGAGTCAACCGTGGTCCGCAGATATTCCCAACGGGTTTCACAGCTGCCGTTTTGGTATCCAACTGACAGAAATGTCGCCGATATGTATGATAGGAGTAAGAATGTTTCGCAACTTATCAGTTTAGTATTTAATGTTCAGTTTTTCAACTATTTATCAACTAATAGACTCTTATCTTAGCTCGTAAGTGAGGTAAGATGATAATGTTGACAACAGTAGAAACAGTTAACATGTGATGTAGAGTTAAACTTGGACAAATGAACAAGTTTTTTTTCAGAAAGTCATAATTTGAATTTCATCTTGAGTGCTATCACTAAAAATAAAATTAATCCTAAACAAGTGAAATGCATCTATTAATATATAGAAAATTACATTAGAGCCCTGACAGCTCAGTGTCCGGGCACTCGCCTTTTATTTAATATACTCGAGCAACCTGAGTTCGATCCCCGGTGCCAGCACCAATGAAATTGTTAATTTTAAGTGCCGAATTATCACGTGCTTAGCGGTGAAGGAAAACATCTTGAGGAAACCCGCATGTTTTCGAAATAATAATTAAAAAAAATATTTCGAAGATATGTGAAGTCCGCCAATCCGCCTGCAGTGGGGGCGCGCGGTGGACTATGCCCTGATACCCTCTGTATAGAGAAGGCCTTTGCCCAGCAGTGGGACAAGTAAGACATGTAGTGAGAAAATTACAATCATTTTGGCTTGATCTTCGAACAGTCCAGATTTTTATTAAGTAAAATAATTGAACTTTTATATTATAATGAATATTTTGGCGCTTATAGGCAGGACACTTATTCATGGAATGTCTGACCAAGTAGATCCTTACTAATATTATAAAGGCGAAAGTTTGTATGTATAGATGGATGTTTGTTACCCTTTCACGCAAATACTACTGAATGGATTTTAATGAAACTTTACAATAATATAGCTTATACATCAGAATAAGACATAGGCTATAATTTATATACATATTTTATGTATATCTGTCTTTGCTTAATGTTATACCTTAAGCCTTTTCTACGCAGACGTAGTCGCGGGTAGCAGCTAGGATCAAATAAATTCAGATGAGCGTAGATGATAGGTCCTTTCAAGGAAGGTTAGCAAAATATTTATTGGAAAGGAACCCAATTTATTGGAATTTACCGTAAAGTTTATACATTATACATAATTTTTATCTCTAAGAGTATTTATTACTTTATGTGTAAGTAATGTATTTAATTATAATAAGTATTATGCGGATATTGTATATTCCGTCTAGTTGTCCCCGCAGAGTGCAGAGAACAGCTGCAAGGCTTCGACTTGCTCTTCCTCCTCAATTTCACCCTCCAGCCAGAAAGTCTCCATCATACCTTTACCCTGGATAAGTAGTAATTAATTTATATGTACTTTTCCTTAACAAATTACCGACCATTATTGACGCTGACACAATGATAAAAGGCGATAAAAAAATCGGTGTTCTGTAGTATAATTAATACAATTATACTACAGAACAATACAATATCTATTTATAATACTGTAGAACTTGATAAAAATATTAACAATATTGCAAAATAATAACGGAAGATAAGAATAAATTGTGGGAATACGTACAGTTTTTAATTAGGGATTAACCTACAATGTTTCAATGAAGTTAGGCAGTTATTAAGCAACTGTTATATTTCAGATTGAGTAGATATATAATTTTTATTGCTAATTTAGAAGTAGTGCAAAAGCATTGTAAATTGCTGATTTTGAGAAGGTACGACAAGTGGCTAAGCATCACTAATTATAGTTTGTAAGTTTGGTCGATGATTTGATATAAAACACTTATAAAAATCCTTGTTGAATAAAAACCTTTATAGATCCGTTACAGTAAAGCTCAATTTACAATTGTATGACTACTATACTTGTAAAGGTTTCTTATAAAAGAAAAACAAAGCGGATACGGCAAAATTTTGTAACACAAATATTTCTGTGGCAGGGCCACGCTACACTCCTCACTGTTGCACGAGTGGGCAGTTCCGTACGGGAAAGTAACGCGAACTCACAGAAGACCGGCGTGAAGTGGAAGTGTTACTACTTTTGCGTTTCGTCCGGTGAGTGAGGTAGCCGGAGCCCACTTTATTTAAAGGTGGCAACGCATTTGCAACCCTACGGGTGTTGCTATTGTCCATGGGTGGCGGCTATCGGTTAACATCAGGTGAACCGCAAAAAATAAAAATAAATCATTGTTGGTAACAAAAAATAATAAGTGTTCGATTTTATTCAGTAGATATTAATTAGATAGTACGCACCTTTACTTTAATAAGGCCTCTTCGCCTGAGCCTGAATCTGCCGGCGGGAAGTTCCGCTGCTGTCTTCGCGGATATCTGAATGCGTCCAGGCTGGAATATTAACAAAACATTCGAAACCAATTACGGCATCGGTCAAATATTACGGCGCATATATAGAATTCATGAGCCAACAGTTAAGGAAGTTTTCGTGATAGAACTTTGTTATGTGTGCGCACTTGCCAAACCCTTTCTGAATAATTTCATCATCGTTTAGTTTTAGTTGAATGTTATAAGAGTCAAACTGCTTGCAGGTGTAGATGCAAGTCTCAATCAAAGTTCGCCTAGCTTGAAACGAAATATGCGATGATTTTGTTTAACATTTGTGTGTTCTTAGTTAAAAGGCAGTGAATAACCGTATGGCTAACCTCAGACGAGGTCTGCATCCTGCTAGCGGTGTTGACTGTGTCTCCAACTAGACAATACCGCGGCAATCGCCGCCCTAGCACACCCGCCACGCATGGTCCAGAGTGTACCCCTGTTGAAAACGTCCGTTTATATAATATAGTTTTCATATATAATCTACACATGGCTCCAGTTATTGCACCAAAACTATGCGGCGGGTTATGCCAAAATCCAAAACGGGAGTCAGAAGTACTCCCGTTTTTATAAGCAGCTAATATCTGGTGGCATGTATAATGCAGAATTGTAGGTGTTACATTTTGCCTAAGTGTAACTTGATGCTTAGCACTATCTCATCACAGAAGAGGCGTTAAAGGTAAGTTATTTAGTCACGAGAACTCTAGGTTCATCCCGAATTGTTCGCAATTGTGATATTGTGTTACATTTCCGTTATATCGTGAATTAAATCGGTAAAAGAATATCCTAAAATCTGACTTTACCAATTGTAAGTTTGTTAATTAGTCACGACAACGTGAGGTGCAGATTCATCCCAAATTGTTCGCAATTGCGATATTGTGTTACATTTCCGTTTTATCGTGAATTAAATCGGTAAAATAATATCCTAGAATCTGTCTTTACCAATTGTTAGTTATTTATTCACGAGAGCGCGACGCGCAGATTCATCGCGAATTATTATTGTGACCTTGTGCTACATTTCTGTTATATAGTGAATTAAATCGGTAAAACAATATCTTTGAAACTTTCTTTACCAATTGTGAGCATAGGTAACGCGCGAGATACAGCCAGTGCGGCACTAGCGGCCGACGCGGCGTGCGCCCGTCGCCTCTCAGGCGCTCCGGACACCAGCATGTACACGGTGCCTACCGTCTCCACCTGAAAATACAATATTTCTATATCTTTCTCTCTCTCTTGTCTGTCTGTCTTTCTGTCTGTCTGTCTGTCTGTCTGTCTGTCTGTCTGTCTTTCTGTCTGTCTGTCTGTCTGTCTGTCTGTCTGTCTGTCTGTCTGTCTGTCTGTCTGTCTGTCTGTCTGTCTGTCCGTCCGTCCGTCCGTCCGTCCGTCCGTCCGTCCGTCCGTCCGTCCGTCCGTCCGTCCGTCCTGTCCGTCTGTCCGTCCGTCTGTCACCAGACTGTATCTCATAAACCATGATAGTTAGACAGTTGAAATTTTCACAGAAGATGTATTTCTGCTTCCGCTATAACAACAAATACTAAAAAACAGAATAAAATAAAAAATACTTAAGGGGACTCCGATACAAAAAACGCGATGTGGTTGCTAGGCAAACTATAGGTATTTACCAATTAGTTTATTATAGATAACGGTACAGAACACTTCGTGCGTGAGTCCGAATCGCAATTGTCTAGTTTTTTGCAATAATTTATTCATCCATATGAAAAACATACATTTCAACTATTGATACTCATTTTTTTAGATCTAACACCGTTTCTTAATGAGGTTCCTCTAATGGAGAAGAAACGGGCGAAAGAAACACCGTTAGCATCCTCTATTTTGCTATTTTTTTTCTTCTTTAAAAAATCTTTTTTCTCTAAAACATTAAAATATTCAACATAATTTTTTTTCGAAATACTTGGGAGCGAACAACTCATTCCTTTTCTTTATCATTAATGTATGTTTTTTTTGTCCAGACTAGTCCTCGACATTAGGACTGACCTTGTAGACCCGGTGGGAGTCCAGGAGCCGGTCGATCCTCGAGTAGACGTCGTTCATGTAGGCGACGGTCTGCATCACGTCGGCGCGGGTGCCCGCCTCAGCTAGCTGCACTCCGCAGAACATTATTGTCACCGATTCAAACGCCTGCCATAAATAAGCGCGATCAATATTACTGTATTACAAAGATGGAATACGGTTGTATTGCAAGCGGCGCTGTTTAAAAAATCTGTATATGTACGAATGTACATATACGAATATGTATATATACAAATATACCGAGATGAGTGTATTGTTTATTTTGTGAACATGTTCTTATCCATATTGTTAAAACGATATTATAATTGTACACATTTTACTATCGGAGATAGGTACCTATTTAGGAGAGTTTCATTGCTGATCATAATTGAAATGTGTATAATTCTAATAATATTCTATTTTTTTTGGCACGCCAGCAGGCGGTACACCTTTTTTTTCCTTTTTTTAAACATTGAACTTCCTGTAGGATAACATTATCTTGTGTTGTAAGGACGAAAACGACATGAATAAATTTTGGATGTGGACAAATACCCAGATCCGAAACAATAAACTTACAATAATAAACCGAAGCTAATAACTTAGCAACTGCGCCACGGAGTTTTACTGGCCATTTATTAATTAGACTGCTTACGTATTTTTTGTTCTGATATTCCAGGATGAAATAGCCGGTCAATTGTTTCTTTATTACTGTTTATGTTTTCCTATCATACTATTTTACTACCGAAAAATAAAATAGCTACCCATTATTCCTCAACTGATCATAGAAACCTCACGAATGATTAAACAACAGTTTAACAAGTTATATCACATTTTATTTTAAACATCAAGGGTAGCCCGAAGTGGCCACTAACCTGACAAGCAGCCATTGGGTCCTTCCCAGATCTCAAATGATCCGCAATCCCCTTTGGTATCATTGAGTACAAGAGTTGATCGCCCCTCTTCTTCCACTGATCCAAAAGCCTGCAGGACTTCTCTAGGGATGAACTCCTGCTTTCTGCCTTTTCGAACAGCAGTTCCAGACGAGAGAGATGTTGCCAGCCGTGCAACAGCATCTCTTTGGATAGACCGTGGCCGTTCAAGTCCGCAAGGTACAAGCCGGCTTGTCTTAATTCGTCTAAATCGTTGAAGCTGCAAATTATTGTTATATTGATCACAATTAAATGTTGACTAACATTAAATGTTGACTAACATGAAATGATGAATATTTAGTAGTCTTCACAATAAGATCTTGGTATATTGTCGTGACGTATTAAAGATGAGGAATTTTCTCTGACACGTTCTAACAACCATAAGTTAATTCTTCGCCTACTTGGGACCATACGGTAAGTAACAGTTTTTTTTCTCTATTAAACCAGTAACTTTTAATTTCTCTTCAAAAATGAACTAGACCGAACGACGTCGGGGGTCGTGGGACTGACCCACATATAATTGTTCCGGATCTGTGTGTTTTTTTTTCCCAGGGGGGTTGACGACCCCTGTACGGAGCTCCCGTTTGGGCTGACACCCTGAAGCGCCGGACCCAAGCGCTTTTGCGCAAACCGCAGAGGGTGTTGGCTATCCGGGCCATACGGGGCTACCGGACGATCTCCGGTGAGGCGGCTTGCCTGTTGGCCGGCTTCCTGCCTTGGGATTAGAAGCTAAGATCCTCGCGTCATTGCACTCCTGGCGCGAGGCTGCAAAATCCCAGGGCCACATGCCGGCCCCGGAGGAGTTGGAGGAGCGCAGGCGTAGCCTGCGCTCAAACGCCATCGATGAGTGGGAGCAGAGGCTGGAGCACCCCAGTGCCGGCCTAAGAACCGTAGAGGCCATACGTCCTGTCCTCAGGAGGTGGTTCTTCAACGCAGGTCCTCTCGGGACATGGTGGTTTCGGGAGGTACCTGTTTTGCGTGGCGAGGAGGGAGCCCACAGCGGAATGCCACCACTGTGACGTATGTGCCGAGGAGACGGCCCAGCACGCACTGGAGGAGTGCTCAGCCTGGACGGATCAGCGCCGAGAGCTGTACGCTATCGTGGGGCACGACCTCTCGCTACCAGCCGTGGTTCGCGCTATGGTTGACAGCGAGAGGGCGTGGGGTGCTGTCCTCGCATACTGCGAGGACGTTATCACCCGGAAGGAGGCCGCGGAGAGGGAAAGGGAGGCAACTGCCACCCTGGAAATTCGTCGCCGGAGACCAGTGGCCACTTCTCCCATCCAGTGGCAGGGGATCCATAAAAGATTTTTCCCACGAAAAAAAAAAAAAAAGGGGGGGGGTTGACGACAGGTAGGCGGCCGGTAAACATAGCTAAAGCCGCTTACAACATGATTCAAATTTTGTGCCTCCGCCTAGGTGGGATATGGGCAGGAGGATGATGATGATAATGTTTACACATGAATAAACAAAACAAAATTATTTGAAAACTACAAACTAACATAGGACTGCACAGGAATATGAGGGAATCGATTTCTTCTAATAAATAAATCGGTCCTTTGAGCAGTATTGAGCGTGCACCCTGTGATCCGCGGCGAGCGTCGTTCACACACCGCGCTTTCCACCGCATCAGTTCCAACTCAAACAGCATAGTCTGCATGCACACTACCTGAAAATTATTGTAAATATTGTTAAAAGTTTCTATAAGTCCAAAAGTTTAATGATAAGTTTATTTAATCACGACCATTTGGAGTATATTTAAATGCTTGTCGCTCGTGATCTCACTATCAGGGGGAAGGTTGTGCCTGTAGGCCAGCCTCCGGATATCGGGGATATCCAGGGATATCCAGGGTCGGCGGATATCCAGGGTGGCAATTGTTTCCCTTGTCTCTCTGACCCAAGCTCGCCCAAGCAGGTAGCTAGGACAAATAACTTCACCCTCTCCACCTAAACGCCCCACGTAATTAATGGACGCCCCCCTAATAACAGCTCCGAATATTAAAAACAAACAATAATAATATCTGCTTGCTACCACCATGGTAGGGCAACGCAGCAGCCTCGGCCGTTGCTCGAATTGGCCGGCTCGTCCGGGTAAGTACCACGACCTCACGGAAGGCCGGCGTAAAGTAAAAGTATAATACTTTTGTGTTTCGTCTGGTGAGTAAGGTGGCCGGAGCCCAATTTTCAAAAGGTTGTCAACGCATCTGGAACCCTCGGGTGAAGCAGATGTCCATTGGCGGCGGTATTCATTTAACATCAGGTGAACCGTCTGTGAAAATCGTAAAATTAACAGTAAATATCTCGATTCCCAGCATTCTGTAGTAAAACTAAAGTCAAGTGAAGAATATCTGTGAAATTCATTTTGCACACTCACAATATGCTGGCTTAGTATCGTAGCTTCATACCTTGTCCCACGTAAATGATATCTTTGGTTTCCTCAAACGGAGAATTTCGGAAACGGGCGACTTCATAATCCGGTGGCATGGCCCACCCCAAGCAGCGACCAGCTGGAATATTTAAGGTGTTTCTTAACTTTGTCATTATTCGCATAAAAATATTGTATTTTGGAGAAAATGATATCATTTAGTTTGATCATCGTGCCGACTACACTCTTTGAATTTGAAAACTCGTTAAGTACCAAGAAGATTCTTTGGCAAAGCCAGTCGGTATAGCATTATTTGTAACATGTTGGGTTCTAGGAAAATTTTCTGTGGTATATTGTTTTGTTACTTTGATGCTTTTACATACACACTTATACCAAAGAAAACATTGAGAGATAAAGTTTAAGAATTAAAAAAAAAAACGCGGCAATGTCACCTTCTCCCCTGCCAGAAGTATTTTCATCTTTCGATCTAGAAGAACGCCAAACGGGAAGAGTTGCAGCAGCAAGGATGCTGGGACGGCTGGTAGTAGACACGGCAGAGATTTACGTAACATCAAGGACTGGACCTGACAACAGTGAAATAAAAAAAAAAATAATATTAAATTAGACATCACAATTTTTCTTCATAGCCCCAATTATAAGATCGGCACATCGTTATGGGTGGGGGCTTCTTGTTTGTGGAAAAAAGACCGAAGCTTTACTCAACGGACTGACGCATCTTTGAGACTTGTATAGTAGAAATATACTTAGATATCAAAGAACATTTGGTATCGTCTGGTAAGACACTAGATACGTATATTTATTTAAAAATTAACGCCATGTTGGTGATTGATCTATTCATTACACTGGTATCTGTGTAAATTATTTCAATTGCAGTTTATGTGACCGTTACTGTTTGAATAAACGAAACAGCGTAAGAACGAATTGGAATCGATTTAAGTACCTCTGCCAGACGATACCGAATCTTGGACCACCCTAAGAACATAAAGATACACCTGCCTTTTTAATTGAAGACATAAAACATTCCTTTTTAGATTGGAACGCTTTATCGAGACTGAATTGGCCATTGTTTACGTTCTATATTATATTATATATCGGTCGTTTCCTCCAATAGAACAATTAAGCAATTAAATTTAAGTGTAATTTTAAATTAATCTGTAGGGAGAAGGGAAAATGTTCGACTTCGTAGATTATTTTATACGAAAATCTAATTCCAGAATTCTAATAACCAGACGTAATACCATTTACGTTGAAGATCTTTGGTTCGCAAATTATTTAGGTATCACAATTCATATTATTTTCCCAATAACTAAAATCAAAAATTAAGGAGATACTTACGAAGAGTTCACAGTATCACAATACATATCAATACGTTCTCATTTCAACATACTTCGTATAAGTGGACACAAAATGAAATTAAAATAATGTTCTGCGAAGCGTGCATCAGCTGGAGACAAACTTTTAGTAACGTTCAAAGTTCGAACAATCCCATTAAAAGTTTGTTAAAATATCAATTCGCTCAGTTAATCTACGCGCCTACATTTTGTCAAATGTGGTCAGAACAGTGTGATATTATAATTAGTTCAACGCTGATACCAAAATATAAAATGTTTTCGTATGAAAAGGAAATAATGATTGTTAGATTAAAATTAATAAGTGGAATGAAATCTCAAGGTAAGGATAACATGAAACGAAGAAAATTATTCTCACGCTGTATTGTCTAGTTGCAAAAACTAAATGCGGTTTGGTATGCTCTTATATACCTGATGCATATGGACGATTTTATATACAACATATATCAATCTTCCCTGAATAAATACAGTAAATTAATAGTAATATATTTGTATTATAATAGAAGATAAGATCAAACCCGAAAAAGATTTTTTTACCTTTCTAAAACATCAGTACATTACGCTTCATTGATGATTTTGTTTTTACATATTACATAAAATCCAGATATATATTTGTAGAAAAAAGAACGAAAAGTCTTTCGCCGCTGTGGTATGGGAATCGATCCCACTTCTACGGGAATCGCGCCCAGACGTTTTAACCGTTTTAATTTACTAAATATTTTAACTGTCAGAATCTTGACTTCAGCCTTTTTAACGTTAACATACGGGATTTGGGCTCTTCGGATAGTGTTTTTGTCTGAGTTATTAATGTTCCTATTGACAAGTATTATAATACTAGCTGTTAACCGCGACTTCAACCGCGCGGCCAAAGGGCATTAACAATGTGTTTTTAATTAAACACCAGAATATCGCTCAGATGGCTGAATATTTTCCTACTTAGTTGACACTTATCATTACCTACATTTTGGACAATTTACAAAATATCTTTATAATGTTATAGCCTATGTGTTATTATATATAAGCTATATTATTGTAAAGTTTCATTAAAATCTATTCAGTAGTTTTTGCGTGAAAGAGTAACAAACATTCATCCAATACATACAAACTTTCGCCTTTATAGTATTAGTAAAGAAGTAAGGATGAACTCACATAGTCGCTATTGTCGAATTCGAGCCGAAGCACGGCTACGTAATAGGTCCCCTCCATGCTCTCCTTCACAATCGACGCCTTCAGTTTCAACGAGAATATGTCTTCCGCAATCTCGTAGAGTTGTCCTGTGGAATTTTATTTGAAGCTTACATAATGGCCTTATGCATTATAAGGCCGTCTCGATCAATGACCTATCATGACTTCACAGAAAACTGGATCATACATTTGCGTTTCGTCCGATCAATCATCATTGAGACTGCACTGTGCACTCGCACTCTCTAATTCTCTATTGTGATGTGTGAATACAGACAGCGGTACTTATCGTCAGGTGGACTGTTTGTACAGTTCAGAAACCGTATGACGGTATTGTATTAAAAAAGATTTAGTTTAAAGGATCTAAAATGTCTCCTTGTCCGTGAATTGCCGACATCAACCCTCGAAATGAACGATGCCTGCCAAGGTATCTAAAAAGCTAACAGGCGTAATTGACAAGTACAGTCAACTCAAGAACCCTTTAAAGTTTGTGATTATTTATTTATTTATTACATACACGCACACAACTATCATTTCAGGCTGGCCCAATGCGATAGTGTAGCCAAAAGTGATAAAATAGTCCAAACAAATAAATAAAAACTAAGAACTCCATAATTATAATAAGTTTTGGTGTTAGTTTTGCGCTCAAGATTTTTATGCAGTTGAGTTTTATATTTATCTGGTTGTAATCTGTTCGTCTACATGGCGTTTTCTACTAGGATTTCGTATTAAACCACGTTTTCGTATTAGGAGGCCAATATTTGGAGTGGGATTTTAAAGTTTGTTAGGTAACTTGGTTGTTCTTAAGCTATCGCATCTAGAGGTGTACTTATTTTGGCGTCTTGGTAATTCTCTGTGTATATTCAAAATATCCGTACAATACAAGACAATCTTATTTTATTAGAGGTATTTTTAATTACTTTAAACATGCCCTTATAGTAGGATAACAGTAATAAAAATAAATTTCACGTAGGTAAACACTTCGATCCGAAAAAAAATATCTGTAGGTCACACGAATTGCTTTCCATCGCAACCAGCGCCGAAGACAATACCTTGGCCACTGCGCCACGGAATCAAATATTAATCAGCGCACTGTACTAAAATAAAAATATAACTTTTATAACTTGCTTCAAAATGCGCCAAATTCATTTGATACAGACATCAGGTAACTATGTCTGTTTTGTATTATCATTTGGTCTAGGATTTCTAACATACCCATAAGGTAATGCGTGAAGCCAGTCCGGCCGCTGCTGTAGACTAGCTCCGCGCCGTGTATATGCGCGCGCGTCAGCTGCATACTAGGCGAGCGCATTCGGGGGAACGTGAAACGCATACGCTGGTGGATGCTGTCCACGGACTGGAGGAACGTGCAGAAGTAGCGGCCGGTGGCGCGAATCATCGTGTCGTATCTGCACACGACAATGTATAGTTGAAGATTAGAATCGATTGCCCGTCTCCTGCTGGTAAACTCACGACAAGACAATCGGTCCACAGTAAATAGTATAGTGGGGAATGAGGTAATTGTGTTTTTTAGTTAAATTGTACATTTTTGTTTATTTTACAACATAATACAAGCACCATATAGTTTAAGTTCTGAAGGTCGAAGACCTACGCGGAACAAAAGTTTTTTTCTGATATGACGTAAATAGTTTTTTCTGATAGTGGAAATCAAACTGATGATCCGTAAATCGATAATCAAGGTGGCTAATTAATTCTTGCAGTCCTCCAAAACCCCCAAAGAGAATGTTCGATAAACAACATAAGATTTTTTAAAAGAACAGCTTTCGTGTTATTACATTCCAAATATTTTGTTGGTGTGTTAATTAGAAACGGCTCACCCGTAGTTAGTGAAGAACTTCACGAAGCATCTGCCGAAGAAGTGCATCACCTTCTCGGGTGTTCCGAAGCGTTCCCGCATCGAGTTCAACTTCTCGGAGTTGATGAGGTTGAGGCTGTTCAGGCGAGGCCTAGAGATCCCGGAGGAGCGTCTCTTGTATACGTCCAGGGCGACGGTGCAGCTGTTCTTCCTAACGGTAGGTTTCCTATGGCTAGTAATGTTGACGTTGTCTGACTGCGGCGACGCGGGGACGTCATCAGACTTGGCTCTGTCCTCATCGTCCTCTACTTCTACTATCTTCTCCGGGGAGGTCTTGAACGCGTGGTGTTCGACGCTCACTGCCAGGCTCCGTCTGTTCATGCTCCTGATGTTCGTCAAGTTGAACTCTTCGCCTTCGTTGATCCTCTCCGTGGAGATGGTGGTGTTGGAGGGCATTCGTATTTCCTCCGACGAGTTGTACGCTTCTATTTCTTTCTTGGTGACCGCCGCCAGAGCGTTGTTGGCGGTGAACGGGCATCTGTAGCTCTGGACCCTGTTGTCTGCGTGGACTGAGGCGCTGCGCCACGTGGGCTTGGATTTGAGCGAGGTCTTCCGCGGCGTCGGGCTCGCTGGTGTGGATGTGGAGGGGCTGTTCGGGTCCTTGCTGATGAGCCGGGCCAAGGCGCAAGCCAGACGCAACATGAGTGCGTCTGGATATTGCTGTGATAGACGATAAGATTTTTGAAATTTTACACAATGTATACATTAAAAAACTCGAAAAAAAATACCGTAATAGACGTCGTGTACCAATATAGAAATAATATAATTACGGAATACCAGGTAATAAGTTTTGATTTACCATAACATTAACATTAACATTAACATAACAGTAACATTTGCATTTTTCTAGTACAGATTTTTGTCTGTCACCGGGTGTTTAATCCGTATCAATCAATTTATCATTATTCTGTAGAATATTTAAAATTCTTTAGTTACCTGTGTAGCGCTGAATATCGTATTTCTGGCTCCAGACTCTCGTAGTATCGTCTCCCATATTTCCTCTCCGCATTCTTGCTGAATAGAGACACAATGACTAAAATAATTTATGTTATACGAATTTCACAAACTAAAGGTACGGAAAACTTAATTGTATTTTAACTTTGGAGACTCATGTAATCACTAGTACTTATAGATAATACACATTTTAAAAGTAGGCATGCATAGTGATGAATTAGTGAATTGACCATTAGGTTGTTTGCCATTGTAGTGTAAGAGAAGTAGCTACGTAACAGTGACATCAGCATTTAAAACATAGTTTTGGCGTTGGGTTAAATCCTCGCACGAGATAAGTGTAAATATTGTGAAACTGCAAACTGGGAATCATTGTTCTGGATTACGGCTTTTCTCCACATATAATTACGACAACTTAACAATTCTTTACGGCATTTTTCGTCCTACAGTATTTTTTTTACAGTTCCTACAGTAAGAACTGTAAAAAAAATACTGTAGGACGGTAGTAAAGGCGAAAATGTCAACGGTACAAAAATACCACACGATAATCCCTGTCCAAAGCCTTTTGTATACCACTAAATCACCACAGAGCTGTGAGCTGTGACCAGCATAACCTTGTCACCACAAGAGCAAACAAATAAACTGATCACGTACGGATTAAAGCTTTCGCAACACTAAGTCTTGCACGTGAGGCCCGAAATTTGGCGCCATTGTTATTCCGCGGGTACATTCGAGAATCGCTAATGGCCACCCAGCTTATAATAACAGCCAACGGTTACACGCCGCGAATAAAGAAGCGTAAGAAAGCTGATGTGTTTAGACAAAAAAGTGTTTTATATTTCTACTACACCTTCATTACAAGCTTTGATTATCCTTTAAACGAGCAATTCTTGGATATATATATATATATATATATATATATATATATATATACTATATTATCGGAATCTCGGAAACGGCTCCAATGATTTTCATGAAGTTTAGTATGTGCGTAGATTCGGGGGCGAAAAATCGATCTAGCTAGGTTTCATTTTTAGAAAATATCCTTTTATCCCTCTTTTTAGGGAATGAAAAATATTTTAATTTCGCCGCAAAAAAAATGTTATAATAGCTCGGTCGGTAATGGGGCGGCCCCAAAACAGACGGCCGCGGTTCGTATCGCGATCATTTACACACTTATTTTTTTTACTATACCAGATCATTGCTTTCTTTATTTTTTTTAAATACATGATTTACCAAAAAATGAAAACCGAGCTAAGCTCGGTCCTCCAGGTACTGATGTATATATGTGATAGATGGTCTTCAGTCTTCGGCGATGCGGCTCTTGGTCTCAATACCGACCGGGGACAAGTGTTCATATCATCTTTACTGTCTACAGCGTAAGTCTGCACGAATGGGCAGGTTCGTCCTGGGAAGTACCACGACCTGCCAGAAGACCGAAGCGAAATGGAAGTGTTAAACTTCTGCGCGAGTGAGATAACTGGGGCCCACTTTTCATTTTTACACGATATGTTAACACACACATCAGGTGAATCGTCGGCTCGATTGCTACCTTTTCACATAAAAAAATGAACTACTTCGGAACATTTACTAAATTTTTCCGATCTGGCTTCTGTCTTGTTTATATTATCTCTGCAACACTGTAAACCGCTATCTAACGAAATGTACCCCTTTACTACCTATTAAATTTTGATACATATATTGACATAACAAATGATACAATATAACAAATTGAAGGTTCCCAAGTCGTATGGGTTCGGAAATAATGCTGGAGACAACAGATTCCACAATTTGGTTGTAAGCAACTTGGCCCGAGCAAACGTATACGACGATATTCAAAGTCAAAGTCAAAATTTCTTTATTCACAACATAGGCTTATTTTAAGCTCTTATTGAACGTCAAAAACTACCACCGGTTCACTAAACTAGACCTGCAAGAGAAGAACCGGAGAGAAACTCTGCGGTCATATATTTATATTTTATTTCTATTTTTTTTTAAGTATTTAAGTATACACACAAAATTATTTTAGTATAATTTAGCAGGAGCCAGGGGACTTGCAAGTGCAGAGCAAGAGTCTATAGTAGTAGTATAGTCATATTAGAAGTAATACGTCCTCCTGGCCGGTGAGATAGATGTCGAAAGGTTATTAGTATGCGTTCGTTTGTTGATTGAGTTAAACGAGATCCAATCCTTTTAACGGTGACATCGGATTTGCAAAATCGACGATGGCGAACCATTGCATCTCTCTCCACATTCAACAATGGAAAAAAATACACATCCTGAACCAAATTACAGTCTATAATTTGTTTCACCCTTTCTTAGGGTTTCGTACCCAAAAAGTAAAACGGGATCCTATTACGAAGACTCCGCTGTCTGGCTGTCCGTCTTACACCAGGCTTTATCTAATGAACTATAGTTAGGCAGTTGAAATTTTTACAGTTGATGTATTCTGTTGCCGCTATAAATACAAATATAATAAATAATAAATATACAACATACACAAATTTCTTGTCGGTTCTTATAATAATGGTACGGACCCCTTCGTGCGCGAGTCCGACTCGCACTTGGCCGGTTTTAACCGATTCCTTACACGGTATAAACAGCTCCGGCAACGGGATTTGTAATGTACAACAACGAGACCCTAATGGTTCATTCATTTCTGCTCGCACATTTCTTTTTTTGTGATATTTCCAATATCCTGAAATCTCTCACGTTCGCACGGACATAAATTAATATGTGAGCAACGTAAATTGTAAGACGCGTTTGAGCACTCCTTATAAAAAGAAAGTTGTTAATAGTTCTTGAGTTATCTCTAGTTCACCTGATGATAAATGATGACCGCCACCCATGGATTCATAGCACCTTTGAAAACAGTGGGCACCGGTTACCTTACTTATCAGATGAAACGCAAAATTTGTAATACTTTCTTCGTTCTAAATTGTTTCAGTTGTTACATTGCCTCACACGTAAAAAGTTAAAGTTAAACATCAGGTGAAATATGTAACCACGCATAACGTTTACACACAAGACGCTTTAACCAATTGGATGAAAGTTTTCATCACGTATAGCTCTTAGATTTAAATTGTCAACAAGCGATAATAATATGTGTTAATGGAAGTGGTTATAGTTGCAGTTGCATTGCCATCTTTTTTTTTGCCAACGAGGGTGCAGCCCGGTTACCATTGTAACCAGACTATGGGTAAAATGTAATAACTATATACATTTTACTCTAAGTTCCTGTAGCCTTTTGAATTTCCAGTATTTCAAAGGACGAGTTCAATAATTTAAAAGCAGAGGTGGATTCAGTTCTGCTTCAGTAAATATAACTAACATAAGATATAAATTCCAAAATTCAAATTAATTATAAGTCCCAAATTTCCCAATCACTTAAAACAAAAGCGTTCAACCAATGTGTTTTTCCGCCTATGGCATAGGTAATGGATGCGAGACATGGACACTGACTGCTCAGTTGATCCACAAGCTCAAGGTGACCCAGCGCAACATGGAGCGTGCCATGCTCGGCATAACCGTACACGACCGAGTCCGGAACGAGCTCATCAGACGTTGCACGAAAGTGGGGCTTCACACATGTGTCCGGCCCAAGCCGAACGTTGCCGAAGAAAAGACGAACGTTGGAGCAAGTGCGTTTCGGAGTGGGGATTGTGGGGAGTGGAGAAGTGTGGGCAGACCACCAGCCCGATGGTCCGATGACATTAAGAAGACAGCCGGCACAGTCTGGAAAAGGGAAACAAAAAGTCGTGCCGAAAGGAAGAAAATTGGAGAGGCGTATGCCCAAGGGTGGGCGAACACACGCTGAAGAAGAAGAAGAAGATATAAAATAATTTATATTGATATTCAAAACCTAAATCAATGTATTCTTATATGGTTCATATCAGTAGGATTACAGAAAGACACCCGTGAATCCTAAATACAGAATCCTAAAGAGTTTATGAAAATCCCCGCTAGGAAATACATGTATCATACATACATCCAGCCTGAGAACTATTAGTGAAACACGTAAAATTTTGTTGGATTCGAACTCGCAACGTTGCTACCTAAGCCCCAAGGCAAGCTCCGTAACATGTACTTACTTGTTTTTAGCAGTTCTGTTACAATGATTATGTTTTGTGTATACTACGAATATCTGTTAGGAAAGATTAGGTCTGAAATTAATGATCGTGTCGTGAGGCTTTGTTAATTTAGTCTTTGTTAATAAATTTCGCGAGCGAAGTCACCAGTTTCTGTGTTAAAATTAATTTCGTTAGCACCGCATTTAATATAATTTTATAAGTTTAAGCATATGATGTAAGAGGGAGCATAAGAACAAAATATGGACTCAACCTTTGAAAAAGACAAGGAACATACATGAATCACGATTGGTACACACTAGTAGGGTTCAGAATGTGAGGAGTTTCTACTTTTTAAACTCTCAATTTTCCTTACTCACCCCGTGTTAAAACGCGTTACGCACTTCACGCAAAGCCATACATGACTGTAATATAGGTGCACACTTTATGAACATTTATAAAATAAGTTACCCGCCGGATAACACTACACTCACAGTCAGTGCAACAACAAACACACTAGTTCGCCCTCGCCTCCGAGCACGGCGAGACCAACACAACGCGTATACAAGGTACAACCGCGTTCCGGGGCGGTTCTCACCGCTCCCAGCCACCGATTAGTTAATCGCACAGTCGACGGCCATCGGGGTTTCGGTCCGAACCGCGACTTCGATGGCCCTTAGATGACACACCATACTTAAACGCACGCATGAGCACATGCGTGGCCCTACCCACAGGGGAGGGCCCAAACCCGTGAGTTCTGGCTAGGCCACCGGTTCTGCGTCAGATTTATTTATTTATTTTTTGTTACACCAACAAGATGAACACTAAATTTAGACAATTTATAGGTAATGTTATTACAAAAAGCTTGCTGAGTGCCATCTCAATTATAGGTGCAAACCACTATGCTTTAAATTTAACAACACAAGAACTTAAAACTATTTGTGCGAAAAAAAAAAAAAACAACACTAAACATAAGATAAAAACTCAGCGAATAGTGAGTACAATGAAATTTGCAGCATCAATGTTAACAAAAAAAGTAAATCCAAAAAAGTAATCAAGAGTTTAAAAAAAAAAAAAATCAAAAGAAGAAAAATAACCACAAACATAAATAAACATAAAAAGTTAAATCAATTAAGATGAAGCTTTAATCGTCTCGGGACTGAAAGCACAAACATCAGTTAATACAAGATACAAGATACAAGAAAATAAGTGTACTCATTTTATATGTATACACATGTTCCCCTTTTTTTAGTGTCCCGTACTCAATAGGTCCCTATTATTAAATCGTTTTTAAAGATAATTGAACGGAAACCTTCCTGCGGGAGTCCGACTCGCACTTGACCGGTTTTGTTTACATAATAATAGACATGAAAAAACGTGAATAGAATATCGGTAGGGAGATATGTTCCTGCAGTCTTTACTAACGGTCGTGAAATAGCCATGGTCACTAATTGTGTATAGAATTGTCAGTGGTCAGTGTATTGTGTGACTATTTATTATGCCACGTGCCCATTGTTTCCCAAATAAACGTCCCGTACTTGTTGCAATGGCGTCTTGTGAGCTCGGTAGGTTTCGAATGCGAAACGAGTCATCTGCAATGTTGGTCGGTTTTTCCGAACGTTGAATAGAATGCTTCAGTAGTGTTATATTTATGTTAGTCTTGGAGTTAGCCGTCTACCCTGTACGGATAAGAGAAAGCCTTTATTTTCAATGGACTTCAAAAAAGGAGGTCCTCAAATCGGTTATATTTTTTTCATGTCTGTTCCCCCAGAACTCCGTCACTTATGAACCGATTTTGCAAATTCTTCTTGCATTGGGTTCGGTTTAGCTTCCTTTAAACTATTTATCTTATTGGTATTGGACTTTGGCATTCAGAGATACATCAGGGAACTCTTCAAAACAAATAGAGTATGTATAGTGAGAGTGATATTGTAAGTTGGTTACGTTTTTGTTAATAAAATTGTACTTGATGTATTTAAAAATCCATGCGTTATTTTTAAATATTCTCTACATATTCATTTGTAAAAAGAAAAGTTGTTTTCACTTTCAGATATTTGTTTTTATATTCTCCTCATATTTTCATTATCCGTGTAAAGCTGATTAATTTTCATGTTGCTCGTGTCTGTGAATAAACTACAATCATTATTAAAATTAATTCATTCAGAGAGAAAGCCGTGATTTATTACTGAATATTTGATTTATTTTAACAGGGAAGACAATAAACGATTATAGTAAATTAATTTTATGAGCAATAAAAGAACATTCCTTGATTATTCCACTGCTAGGCAAAGTCTATCTGTATACGGCTCTACACTCACCTATTTAGTACGCGTGGTGAAGTTATAACTTTTTACTTATTTGAATAAATAAATAATAAATAAATAAATATTTCAGGACACATTTTTACACTTCTAGTCCCAAACTAAGCAACGCTTGTACTATGGGTACTAGAAAACTGATAAACATACTTAAATATACTTTTTTTTTGTAAATAAATACATATTATACATATATAAACAAACAGACACTAGAAAAACACTATGTTCATGACACAATATTTTTCCAGTAGTGGGGATCGAACCCACACCCTCTGGCGCAGGAGGCAGGTACACTACCCACTACGCCATTCGGGTCGTCAAACATTAAATACGTCAAGAATAATTGTGGGAAATGTAGGCTTTGTCTGACTTTCTCCATCTCTGTCCACAAAGTCCATCAGTATAATGAATTACTTTAAAATTATTTAATTAATCAGTTAGCTCGGTTTTCCAGAGCTCTTCTTTCATATTAATCCAAAATAAAATAATATGCCGGCGCCGATCAAATTTTACCCTGTGGTGATATCGTTAATATTCTTTGAAAATTTAAGAGAGAAATTAAAATATTAGAAACGAAAGTAGTTCCTTGCTTCTAAACACCATACATGCTTTAAAGTTCAATTACAATATAGTTAAGTATAATATAGTAATTTTTACCATATTAAATTTTTAAATCAATTTTGTGGCGACGCCCCAAAGCCTCATTAGAACATCAGCGATACATGTTCATCATTATTAGAAGCTGGTAGTTCTTTTGGTTAACAGAGAATATTTCTCATAGCTGTTAATCACGCACGTAATACTTTTTACTCCTTCATTATGCTATTATAACACAATTCATATTTCACCGTAAATCGTCTCGTATGGGCTTACTTTATGCTCGTATCTTACCACTAGCCGTTTTCTTATAAGCCCTGTTAACGAAAGTTCGACCTAGATCACATCACCAATTTCTAACAACCTATTCGGAAATACCTAGATGCTTTTTATATACTTGCATATATATACATACATATACATAATAATACATAAGTATGCGATAAACTTTTACCTAAAAAGCTTAAAAATTACTATCAACACATATATTTAGTAAAGGTTAAAAATAAAATGTGAAGTGTATAATACTTTTACTTAATTTATAGTTTTTACTTTTATATTCGGTTATTGATGATTTCAACTTACCATAATAAAATGCTGGACACTTTCAAGTAACCACCCGTACATTTTTATTTGAATGTATCGAGAAAGCTATGCAATCTGAAATAATTCCCGCACTTGACCGTCAAAATTAAACTAGCCACAAGTCGCTTATTATCACGTGCGTCCTTAAAGGCTTTCGCGCCGATACTAAGCCATAGTGTTGTGCTGCGGCAGTAATCCAAATTAATGTCGATAAGTTAGTCTAATGATCCAGCGTTCTTTTTGCGACCTTTATCGATAAGAGTTTGTTTATATAATTGTGAATATTACTAAGAAGCAACAATTCATTAGAACGCAAATCACTGGACTGGTGACTTTAACGTGCAAAATAAAGTTTGTACCCTGTATGCAAATTATCTATTTATATATCGACGCAAAAAATCTTATTTGTAATCCATAGTGTTAACTTAATAAGATTTGCTACGTGTAAAAAGATATATGATACGTGTAAAAAGGCAACAATTTTTTTTAAAATCATGTTTTACGGTGCAGATTTTAAGTTAGGATTAATAAATGCTTTTATAGTGTTATTAATATTTGTGATTGAAGGACTTGTTTCCGAGATATATGTATGGTAAACTATAAAGTTTCGAAGATTATATTAGATCATACCACTATTGTATAGTTAACAAGGGCTACCGTCACTTTGATTAATTAATTTTAATTAGTTTTCCCTTAGTTTAATTAAAGCATTTTGTTCATAGCTTGCTGTGGACAACCATATTAAATTTTAATTCTCGACAATTTAAAACCCGGTCTTCAATTTGATTACGAAATTCAACTATACTTTATTTTAACAGCGAAGTTCTTTTACGAGGATTTAATCAGTTCTTTTGTATGGTGTATTCGCGTAAATGTAGCAGCTTATATTTTCCGTAATGTATAAAACCAAGCAATGTCGTCTACAGCGGGCGTCATGAAATGAGGGATGAAAGTAGAAACGTCTCCATAAATCAACATAAGAACCCTTTTCTCCAGTCAGTGTCAAAGTCTGCCCTTGAAATGCCGCTCAAACACTGATAAAATAGCATTTATCTTACCCTATGTAAATCAAAAGTCGCCTAGCAAAGTGTTATTTGTTATTAAATGAAAGAAAGAAAGAAAGAAAAAATATTTATTCGGCGCATTACATTATAGGAAAAAAAGATATAACATTAGAATTGTAAAAATGTATGCACCAAAAAGGTCTCCGCTCAGTATATAGCCCTGGCAGACAATACCACGGCACT